GTGTGTATGGGCGGCAGTATGTGTGTATGGGGGCAGTGCGTGTGTATGGAGGTGTATGTGTATAGAGTGTGTGATAAGGGTAGGGGGGCTTCTTTTTTTTAAATAATATATATTTTTAGTTATTTAATTAAAATAAATAAATATTCTATGTCCCCCCTCCCTTCTTACTTTTACTGGGAGGAGGGGGGACATATTTTGACCCTGGTGGTCCCAGTGGTGATTCCCTGCGAGTCCCAGGGGAGACAGTGAACTCTAGCCCGCGCTCCTGGGATAGAGTTCACTCTCGCGAGATTTGGAGCGTTGCCGTGGTAACTGCGGCAACGCTCCAAATCTCGTGAGAGGAGGACCCGGAGGAGCTGCAGCCTGAGGTCCTGGGTCCTCTCTTCCTCCCTCTCCCTCCCTCCCCTGCCGGCTGTCAGCACAGTGCCTGCGGACCGGGGAGGGAGATCTCTGATCTCCCCTCCGGTCCGCAGGCACATTGCAGGGCTAGCACCTGTATGTGCTGCTGGCAGGGGAGAGGGAGACCGGCGGATTTCTCGGGGGGGGGCAATTGCCATGTTGCCCCCCCCTGGATCCACCACTGCAATAGGAAGGGTATTGAGGGAGACATCAAATAGACATGGTGGGAAAAATATCAGAACTGGAGGTGAGAGTGGAGTGTGGCCCTATAGCAGAGAGTAAGAGAAAGGTTTGAGAGATAGAAGTTACTCTTGGAGGCCATAAGCATTCCTGAAAAGATGGGTTTTGAGGGACTTCTTAAGGATTAAAGGCTAGTAGAGACAGGACCGGCGCCACCGTTAGGCGAACTAGGTGTTCGCCTAGGGCGCCGGCCTGCTGGGGGCGCCCACCGGGATATTTTCTGGTGGGCTCCCCCTGTCTGGGTACACAGCGCTGGGCAAGCGGCTCTAGAGCCGCCCCCTCAGCGTCGGGCTGCCCGAAGGTGGGGGCGCCCAGAGGAACCCTGTCACAGTATGGGAGAGCAGGCACCTTCTAACCTTGATGACAGGTGCCTGCTGTGCCATCAAATGCCGGTGCCCGGAGGAGAATGCAGGCGGCGAGGGAGGCTCTTCTTGCAGCCTCTCACTCCTCCCTCGCACGCCCTCTGTGATGCCAGGAGCCGGAATATGACGTCATTCCGGCCCCGGCATACTAAACGGCGCACTGGAGGAGTGAGAGGCTGCCCCACACTGGACCCAGGGAGGTGAATGTTAGAGTGTGTGTCTGTGTGTGTGTGTCTGTGTCTGTCAGTGAGTGAGTGTATGTCTGTCAGTGAGTATATGTCTGTCAGTGAATGTGTGTGTGTCTGTCTGTCTGTCATTAAGTGTATGTCTGTCAGTGAGTGTCTGTGTGTTTGCGTGTCTGTCAGTGAGTGAGTGTATGTCTGTCTGAGTGAGTGTATGTCTGTCAGTGAGTGTCTGTGTGTGTGTCTGTCAGTGAGTGAGTATATGTCTGTCATTGAGTAAGTGTGTGTCAGTGAGTGAATGTCTGTTAGTGAGTGTGTGTGTGTCAGTGAGTGTGTTTATGTCTGACAGTGAGAGAGAGTGTGTGTGTGTGTCTGTCAGTGAGTAAGTGTATTATTCATTGAGGTATACATAAGTTTTTTGTCATGGGGTTATACTCATGTCATAGAAAGTATAGGAATTTATCCCAGGGCAAGGATATATAGATTTCACAATAGAACTTCTTTCCCAGATAAGTCTGCATTTTTATTCTGTTAAAAATACATCCGTCACAACCAGTTTCTTTCAAACACTGCTTAGAATAACTTATTTGAGTTTGTTCATGGAATTTGACAATTAAAAAGACTCTCTGCCTCTCTTATATTGTACAATACAGTCCTTAAAAAACATTAGTGAGTTACTGTGGGTGAATGCAGTGCACTGTGTCTGTAGGTACACCTTTTAGAACTATTGAATTAAGTATGCAGCATCGTCTATTCTCTAAAGGTTAAGTTGACCCCTGAGTAAGTCTTGAGAATTATCACCTCAAGTATTTAACAAGGGGTGGAAGGGAACATTGGGAAGTTCAATCAACTGAACTTGTAATTTTTGTTCTGCAAATTAAACTTTAATTAGTTCAAAGGTATTTGTTGACAGCTGCAAAGGACAGCTGAACTTAACAGACGTTTGACAAAATATTTGTCAGGGTCAGAGGATCAGTTCACCTAGGCAGAAAAAAAATATTAATTGTAAAAACAAAAAACAGTAAAACAAACCAATAAAATAGTAAATAAACTGCACTAGTTCAAAATCCTATGAATTTGGAAATACTATTACCTATACAGAATTAAATATAATGTAATAAAATATTTTAATTTTACAGCTCAACAATTAAAGGCAGCTCTATCACCTTCTATAGTCTTTGCATATTTTACAAAGAACTCCTTTGGTCACTTTGCTGTTTGCAATGCGGTGACCGAGGGGTGCAGGAATAGCACAGCCTATTGTATAAGGGTGTGCACCCTAAAGCAGAAACACACACACCGCCTCTATATATATATATATATATATATATATATATACATATATACACATACATACACACACACACTGCTGTGTGTAGGTGCTGTGTGTGTGTGTGCAGGCGCTGTGTGTGTGTGCAGGCACTGTGTGTGAAGGCGCTGTGTGTGTGTGCGGGCGCTGTGTATGTGAAGGTGCTGTGTGTGTAAGGGTGCTGTTAGTGTGTGCTGTGTGTATGTGTAAGGGTGCTGTTAGTGTGTGTGTGTGAGGGTGCTGTGTGTGTAAGGGTGCTGTTAGTGTGTGCTTTGTGTGTGTGGGTGAGGGTGCTGTGTGTGTAAGGGTGCTGTTAGTGTGTGCAAGGGTGCTGTTAGTGTGAGGGTGCTGTGTGTAATGGTGCTGTTAGTGGGTGCTGTGTGTGTGTAAGGGTGCTGTGTGTGTGAGGGTGCTGTTAGTGTGTGTGTGTAAGGGTGTTGTTAGTGTGTGCTGTGTGTGTGAGGGTGCTGTGTGTGTAATGGTGCTGTTAGTGTGTGCTGTGTGTGTGTGTGTGCTGTGTGTTTGTGTGCTGTGTGTTTGTGTGCTGTATGTTTGTGTGTAATGTTTGGGTTTGTGGGGGCCGTTTAGTTAATATCCCTTCTTCCTTCTTACCTTAGGGAGGGGGGGACCGTGCTCCTGCCTTCCCGGGTGGTCAAGGCACACCCGGCACACGCCTATGGGTGCAGAACATGAACGCGTCCTTCGCCATTTTTATCTGTGAGGTTCTCTTCTGCTCATGGGGCTTCATCTGCCAGGAGTCCATGTTAGTGCCATACTTATACACATGCATAAGATTACAACACTGATGTCTATGGAAGCCTGCAAGACTGAAGAAGCCGCCATAGACAAGACCTTTTTCACTTCAGCTCGACAATGCTTGTCAGCAGTTGCCTTTTTTGTCAAGCTTTGTCCAATGTAGGAAAAATACATAGAGCAGCTTTAAAATGAGTAAAAATAATTTTTCAAATTTTTTTTATTTTTGTGTTTCATAACCCACTTACCCTGGATTATAAATCCATTTTGAGAAGGGCCCTCATCACCATAACTTACTCACCATAACTTACTGTCACTGATTTTTGTTTTGTTTTACTAAATAGGGCTACTTGGAAGACTTGAGAATGTCCTACCTATTCCTGTCACATACCCTTTCTTTTCAATCCATGAAGAAATCCCTAATATCAAAACTATTCGGGAGAACTGATCCACCTGTTGGGTGATTTAAATGTAAGATCTGCTTCGATTACACAGGGCTAATAGCAGAGACGTTCACCATCTCCTAATGACAAAGTTTTGGGGTATTGTAACCTAAACAATGATTAAAACATATAAATAACTGTAAAGCCAAAGAATAGCAACTAAATTAATTATGTCCACAGGACTGAGGTCTGTCACAAGTTTAAAATGTGTTTTTAAGACCCACACAATTGTCTCCTTGCACAAGCCTGCTCTAACATGAACATAAAATGTTTTTTTCTCAAATCTAAACTGTCAGCTGTCACTAAACTAACACTTTTAATGTTGCAACACACCTCTCTGCTACGGTCCTGAAACAAATACACAGAAACTGATCTGCCTTGTTCCCAGAGATTCTACACAATGCTTAAAGTGGATCTGTTGCTTTTCAATATTTCATAATGATATATTTTTAATGAAATACTGATCAAGACTGCGTTGGAATTCAATGAAATCCAAAGATACTATAAGACAATGTAGGGACTACTATGTTTTATGGTAAAGCCCAAGGTTGGACAACCTTTGTCCAATCCCAGCAGCCATCGCAAATGATAGCTGTGGGATTCAGGCTCTGTCAATGGAGGAGGCCGCAATTGCTCAGGATCCTCCATAGACCTCAGTGTCATACTTTCAGGTATGTGAGAGAGTATAGACCCGATGTAGCTCTTGGCAACTAAAGTTCCAGGTGTTGAAGAGGACAATAGGATGAAGATGACAGTTGTCACGAGGGACAGTCTTAGGTAAAGCAAAACATATCTCCCGTGCATCGCACAGCCACCATAGCCATATCGGATCTGTCTGTTTCGGGGGTCTATCAAAACTGGGAGATGCACTTCGAAGGGACACTAAACCTGCATTCCTAATGCTTAAGTGACCCTGTTCCCTAGTTATATAGGTTCCCTCCCCTGTGTGTCCCATAAAATTAATATAAAACGTTTTACTCACCTTTTTCCAGCTCTAAGGTTTCATTAACCCCTTAAGGACACATGACGTAAATATTCCATCATGATTCCATGTTATTCCAGAAGTTGTGTCCTTAAGGGGTTAATGTTGCTTACCTTTCCTGCTTCCACAATGTCATGGTGGAGCCATAGCTGTTCTGCTGACTATAGTGTCTCCTTAAGTCACCAAAAAAATTAATTTTCATGTTCTGCACAGAAATTTGAAAAAGAGTTTTCAAAGAAAATCTTTTAGCAAACTGATGTGCAGGGTGTAAAAAGTGCTGCCACACCAATAACATTTTTCTTCAACAATTTACTTAACAGTGCCATAATTTGGTATCCTTAAATAGGCAATCCCACATACGAGTTCAAAATTAGAGAGGTATCTATTAAACAGCACCATTATTTGGTATCCTAAGTAGGTTAACCCAACATCAGGCTACCAAGCTATCTAATTTTTGTTTTGGGTTTAATAAGAATGGGAGGTTTTAAATGGTGGGAGGTATTGGCTGATGGGGTGGTACCAAGGAGGGGTGCTGTGAATTTTTTTTCACACACTACACTGAAAGTCCTAAGACCAGTCATGATGATGCGTATGTCCTGTGAGCACTGCACTCGCATCCAGGCTTCTGAGTCATATGGAAGTCATTGTAACAACAATCGGAGGTGTGTTTAACCCTCTAAGTTAGTGATTCCCAAACCAGTCCTCATGGCCCACCAACAGTCCAGGATTTATGCATTTCCCTTATTTTATGTTAACTGACAAAAACTGGACTGTTGGTAGGCCATGAGGACTGGTTTGGGAACCACTGCCCTAAGGTAACAATGCTGTCTCAATGTCTTGTCTCTTTTTCACTTTCCAAGAAGTCCTGAGGATCATTAGGTCTCAGAGTAGGATTTATGTCTGCAATATTTATTAGTTAATTTCCTCTTTGCATGCCCACTTGGTAGAGGTTTCCTTTTTAAAGGGGTTATAACAGGTGGTGTGAGTTTAACTTTTGTTGCCCTTAAATCATACATTAAATAAGTTCTTACCTTTGTGGGACAGTGAATAAAAGCTTTGCATTAAAGTAAAGGAGTTTAAGAAAGCGTGGAATATGCATAAGGCTATCCTAACTATAAGATAAGGCCGGGGACTAATAAAAGTATTTAGAAAATTGGGCAGATTAGATGGGCCGAATGGTTCTTATCTACCATCACATTCTATGTTTCTATTAGCCATGTTCTTCAGTCATGTATCAAATGGATCTAAAAAAAATCTCCATATCCTATTAACTACAGGGAGTGCAGAATTATTAGGCAAATTAGTATTTTGACCACATCATCCTCTTTATGCATGTTGTCTTACTCCAAGCTGTATAGGCTCGAAAGCCTACTACCAATTAAGCATATTAGGTGATGTGCATCTCTGTAATGAGAAGGGGTGTGGTCTAATGACATCAACACCCATATCAGGTGTGCATAATTATTAGGCAACTTCCTTTCCTTTGGCAAAATGGGTCAAAAGAAGGACTTGACAGGCTCAGAAAAGTCAAAAATAGTGAGATATCTTGCAGAGGGATGCAGCACTCTTAAAATTGCAAAGCTTCTGAAGCGTGATCATCGAACAATCAAGCGTTTCATTCAAAATAGTCAACAGGGTCGCAAGAAGCGTGTGGAAAAACCAAGGCGCAAAATAACTGCCCATGAACTGAGAAAAGTCAAGCGTGCAGCTGCCACGATGCCACTTGCCACCAGTTTGGCCATATTTCAGAGCTGCAACATCACTGGAGTGCCCAAAAGCACAAGGTGTGCAATACTCAGAGACATGGCCAAGGTAAGAAAGGCTGAAAGACGACCACCACTGAACAAGACACACAAGCTGAAACGTCAAGACTGGGCCAAGAAATATCTCAAGACTGATTTTTCTAAGGTTTTATGGACTGATGAAATGAGAGTGAGTCTTGATGGGCCAGATGGATGGGCCCGTGGCTGGATTGGTAAAGGGCAGAGAGCTCCAGTCCGACTCAGACGCCAGCAAGGTGGAGGTGGAGTACTGGTTTGGGCTGGTATCATCAAAGATGAGCTTGTGGGGCCTTTTCGGGTTGAGGATGGAGTCAAGCTCAACTCCCAGTCCTACTGCCAGTTCCTGGAAGACACCTTCTTCAAGCAGTGGTACAGGAAGAAGTCTGCATCCTTCAAGAAAAACATGATTTTCATGCAGGACAATGCTCCATCACACGCGTCCAAGTACTCCACAGCGTGGCTGGCAAGAAAGGGTATAAAAGAAGAAAATCTAATGACATGGCCTCCTTGTTCACCTGATCTGAACCCCATTGAGAACCTGTGGTCCATCATCAAATGTGAGATTTACAAGGAGGGAAAACAGTACACCTCTCTGAACAGTGTCTGGGAGGCTGTGGTTGCTGCTGCACGCAATGTTGATGGTGAACAGATCAAAACACTGACAGAATCCATGGATGGCAGGCTTTTGAGTGTCCTTGCAAAGAAAGGTGGCTATATTGGTCACTGATTTGTTTTTGTTTTGTTTTTGAATGTCAGAAATGTATATTTGTGAATGTTGAGATGTTATATTGGTTTCACTGGTAATAATAAATAATTGAAATGGGTATATATTTGTTTTTTGTTAAGTTGCCTAATAATTATGCACAGTAATAGTCACCTGCACACACAGATATCCCCTAACATAGCTAAAACTAAAAACAAACTAAAAACTACTTCCAAAAATATTCAGCTTTGATATTAATGAGTTTTTTGGGTTCATTGAGAACATGGTTGTTGTTCAATAATAAAATTAATCCTCAAAAATACAACTTGCCTAATAATTCTGCACTCCCTGTAATGTCTGCAACTTCTTTATTTTATCTCTAGAATTTTTTTCTCAATCTATTAGAAATGCAATATCTAACGCTCGCCAGATTTTTTTTTTTTTGTAATCCTAATTGGATAAGGCCATATTCCTTAAAGTTAGGATCTATAATTAACAGCAGTGGAGATTTTAATTTTTTTTACTTCCCACTTACAAATATCTTCTATAGTTTCACTTTACAATATGGAATTGTATAAACAGATATTGAAACTAAAACACCATTGTACACCTGGATATGATAAACACTAGACTTTCTGATATTACCGTACCCACAACGTATTTTTAACTTTTGAATGAAGAGGCCTCCATACTCATGCATTTTAGATTTTGTTGGCTAGTGAACTTCCATGTCACATGCCTTTCATGTTTTGCATAGCTTTTCCCTTTAATGATCAAAGACAGACATGCCAGCTACAATGGATCTATTATGTTGTTGACCAACCTATATACTGTCCCAATATGTGTATGGAATTTCTGTAATTCTTCATGCTGTTGTAATAAGTACTTACACATGCATTATGGAGTCCCAGGACAGTCAAAATACATAGTGTTCTTGAGATGATATACTAAACTAAACTAATGTAAAATAAATAATAGGGTGTAGGTTAAGGTTAGCATAAAAAAAAATTAAGCATTATTGTTTTATGTATGTACCAAAGACATACTGTATATTACATTCTTTTTAAAAGTTTTAAAATTTTATTGAGGAATAATGTACATGCTGTAAATAATTGATTAATGTTGCTATGTCAATTTATATTTTCAATCTGCTAATTACTGTATTTATGATGCACGTTTTAATTTTTAATTTTCAGTTTATATCTAATATCTTTACTTACATTTAGTATGAGATGTAATGCATGTTATCCTACACATGATTAAAATTTTATTATATAATCTGTGAATCTAGTAATTAACAACATTATTAGAAATCCTGCAGTGATATGTCTGACATATTCTTGTAGATTTCACTCAGATTTGTTTTAGTGATTCTACAGCACAAGAAACAGGACATTCAATCGGAGTTAAACTGAAGGAAGATTTGTTGTAGTCCAGAAATAGATTTAGGATCGCAAAATTTTGCATAGTATATACTATATTGTGTTGAGTAAAAGAGTCACTTCTGTTTACATGAAGCTCTTTTTAATTCAACCTGCAATTCGCTTTCTCCCATGCCATTGTCCTGAAATTATAAAATTAAATTGCAGTTTTTCAGATTCGTTCCATTTTCTGTTCATGGGCTTAGGTTAGTTTTACAATCACAGTTCTTTAGTGCCACCATGTGGAAATGTACAAAAAAAACACCAGTTAAAAAAATATGTTAAAGCATACAGAACTAGAAACATTACACAAACAAAGGTTACTATCCAGGATAAAAACAGCAAATAATTGAGTTAAGATTTTTCATATATTCAATTGTGTTTTTTATGCATGTATGAATTATTATTAATATTATTTTTTTATATGTGACAGTCTATTGGATACATGTGTATATAGATAATTAAGAAACTATAATATCACTGCAGTAGTCATATGTCCATAAAAACATAGTGGAAAATGTATTCATACTTACCGTAATTTTCTTTTCCTGGCTATTATTCATGGCAGCATATACATCATGGGTTAGCTATGCCCCTTACAGCCGATAGGACAGGAAAAACACCAAATGCTTTAAAAGTAGGCTCCATTCCTAAGGTCCTCAGTCAGTAACAAGCTCTACAGTAGATAAATAGAGACATTGATGGGTGGATAGTATATGTTGCCATGAATAATAGCCAGGAAAAGAAAATTATGGGAAGTATGAATACATTTTCAAGAATAACTACAAAGTCCTGCAGTGTGACCTAGAATTCACCAACACACTCTAACACCTGTGTGATCATCTCTCTATACACACAAGAAAAAATATACATACATGAAAATGGTAGGTGGAGTGTAGTTGGTATTCACATATAGTATCACTGAAACAGAAAAAAAACAAATGGCCAAAGCCTAGTGCAATACAGTATGTCAAGTATAAGCAATATATGTGGTAACACTTTTGTCAAAGTACTCACAAAGATGGAGCCTGTTTGAGAGGCTCACTACAGGTGCAGATGGGGAAGTTAGAAGGGACCCCACTCCCTCTGTGATGATGTGGAGGTATCCTCCTGGACCCAATAAATCCACTGGACGTAATTCCCAAATTCAGGAAATACTTTATTGATAAAAAAAATAAACAAAAGCACAAAAAAAAGAGTAAAAAGTGGTATAAATAAATAAGTCCACATAAAAAGAGTTGCAAGACACGTTTCACCTATTGAAAGGCTTCCTCAGTTGCTTGATGTTTTCCTTCCTTGCTCGATCGTTCTTATATGCTCCTTATTGCTTGTGAATTCCGTTCACCTGATATTCTCTAATAATTTCCGGTTTCCCTCTTGATGACGCGACTTCGCGCGTCCCTTCCTGATGACGTCACCACTGTCGGCTCACATATAAGAACGATCGAGCAAGGAAGGAAAACATCAAGCAACTGAGGAAGCCTTTCAATAGGCGAAACGCGTCTTGCAACTCTTTTTATGTGGACTTATTTATTTATACCACTTTTTACTCTTTTTTCGTGCTTTTGTTTATTTTTTTATCAATAAAGTATTTCCTGAATTTGGGAATTACGTCCAGTGGATTTATTGGGTCCAGGAGGATACCTCCACATCATCACAGAGGGAGTGGGGTCCCTTCTAACTTCCCCATCTGCACCTGTAGTGAGCCTCTCAAACAGGCTCCATCTTTGTGAGTACTTTGACAAAAGTTTTACCACATATATTGCTTATACTTGACATACTGTATTGCACTAGGCTTTGGCCATTTGTTTTTTTCTGTTTCAGTGATACTATATGTGAATACCAACTACACTCCACCTACCATTTTCATGTATGAATACATTTTCCACTTTCCTGGC